TCTCACTCTAACATAACAATTACGTGATAGCTTCTGTTATTTTGAAATCACCTATTTTGCACAGATTTTCAATCACGGCATTAATCAACACACTGCTGTCTGCAGTCATCGATGGGCCATAACAGATGTGAGCAAAATGGCCGCCTGTCGAGAGTAAGACGCGGTATGCAATGGCACACCTGAAAAGTCTGGCGGCACTTAAATGCACGTGTTGATAGGACGACCAGGCAAGCCAAGGGGCTGACTCTCCTGACCCGTTTGACTTTGTCGTCTGCCTCTACATTAAAAAGGCAATGCATACGGCAACAAAGAAGAGAGCCAACAGAAGTGAAAACAAATCCCCTGTTGAATTAACGAGACCAATGTGAGTGTTCCTCTTTGATCGAGATACCCGACGCACAAGTGGTGCAGACAAAAAGGACGTAGCGACCGGGACGAAAGTTGATAAGCCACTTTCTTCGCTGAACGAGTACCTTGCGCTATCCATCCCGGACACCCTGTCTGCGAAGAATGCCATCCAGCTTTCTGATGCCGGAATAAGACCGTTTGGTGAACGGGCGCAGAGCAGGGACAGTATGCTGATCATCTGGGGGTCAGATTCCGGAGGAATCCCGCCAACGACAGTTGCACAGTCGCTCCTTGATAGTGCGCTCTTAAAGCCTGACCACAATCGCTTCACGCAGAATGGTTACGTCAGAAATGAAGCAAGCGAACACTTGGGCGTCTAGTCACTCTTTCTTCCGTATCTGTCGCAGAGGAGATCTTGGAGCGGGCTGTCAGCATTCAAAACCCTACCCAACGATCAGGCGTCTATTTGAGGATCGCCCTCTAGATGACCGAAAGCCGGGACACAGAAGTTTCCGGGAATAGGTGTAGAACGGGATTCCGCTTGGTGCCAGTTTAGCCAACCCTTAACTTATGGCGAAACCGATTGTAGTTATAGCTCCTTAGGCTCTTGAAAGCCGCGTTTCCGGTCAGCAGTTCCTACTGAACCACTACAGACCACTCGACTACCACTGGGAGCGATGCACTGGATGAGGCAAAACTAACGCAAAAGCCACGCCCAAAGTGCATAGGACTACCAGTGGTTCCGTTCTTAACAGTCGGCAGAAGTGATGCACCGGTGAACTCCGCACCCAAGTCAAAACTTGTGAGGTGGACTGGGTCAGGTGTGCGGGAACAAGCGGCGAGGCCTACTGGCAAATCGAACATGCACGTCGACCTTGAGTTTGGGGATGCTGCAACAACCAGATACCCAGTGATATTGTGAAACTGCCTATCTCCAGCTCCACTCCGGCAAATATGGCTTCGTCGTCGCCCAAAACCCCTGCAGCTAAAGCCACAAACCAGACCATAACAAACCGGAAAATCCCTCGTGCACCCATTTATCCACGCTGATCGCGGGCAACTCCGGTGTCCGCACGAAAGAAAATCGACTGCAGCCAAAGAATCCGCATAGCATTTGCCAAATATAAAACTACTGACTGGCTTCAAGAAGCAGTCCTCTGCGAAAACGGGGCCCATCGGAGCGCCGCCGAAGGAGTTACTTCGAACTGCTGCCACTCAGTTCTCAAGGTCCCACTGAGACACTTTCCCCATCAAACCGCGCCAACCTGCCCAAGAAACAAAAAAACGGACACGAGTTTTCCTCAAATCCTTGATCAACAGCAAATCTGGCGTCCAAAAGGCGATGTCGAAAGAGCCTCAAGTAGCCATGGGTTAAAATTCCCGGAAAAACTTCGTCCACCAAAGGTAAAAGGTTCCGGGTAAACCGGGCTCCCACAGGGCGAAAGAAACCCTGCAAACGAAAAGCGCGTTTCAGAGGCCACCACGACAAGAGTCAGACGAGCATACCCCAGAAATCCGTTTCGAGCCTTGGACTCGTGCGACTAAAAACTCCGCCAACTTCCCCGGTCAGATAACTCTCGGTCCCTCACCCTCGGAGGCATCAGAGGCGGTGGTGAAATGTTCATCCACAAACTGGCTAAGCCCTTTCAACAAAATTTGCGATAGCAAACAGTTGACCTGTTATGAGGAGCCTTCCATAATCGCACCCACAGAGACCTGACTCACACCAGATTTCTCTGAGGCGGTTATCACAATGGACTGCTACTCTGTTCTTCGAGTTTACTCGAAACAAGAGAGGGCTCATGGGGTTTCTTTGTACTTATATGCGGCCCTGCCCATCTCGATTGTCCTTTCTGATACCACTCCTGCACCTTTTTGTGACGCACTGTGGATCCAGATCCCCGTAGGCTGGTCCGATTATCTCCTTCTCAGTGTAGTCTACCGTTGTTTGCCTCGAGTCCTCTTGAAGATGAATAGTTCCTCAAACATGCACTTGACCAACTCTACTTCAGCTTCCACTTCAGTCATCTCCTGGTGCTAGGTGACTTTACAGTCCAACAACCTCTTGAATGGAGCTCCAGCTCGTCGGATCAAGTGAACTTTTTTGTAGCGGCGCTGATTGAAGTCGCTCAACAGAGCGCTTGTAGGCTACCTTCCATAGTGGATTTGATCATCACCAACGAAAGACACTTCATTGATCAAGTGACAGTTAGAGCTTCACTGGGACCTAGCGAACACTGTATGCTGACCTTCGATTTTGTCTACTATTGGGCTAGAGATCCTGAACCTCAGTCATGGATTCGAAACCTCTGCCGTGCAGACCTCTCAGGAAGGCGCATCTTTCTCGAACAAGTTAAAATGGGACCAGCCTTGGTGGGAGACTTAAACGAACAACTTTCCAGAAAGTTCACGATGCTCGTGTTTATGCCCAAAACCGGCTCGCAGTCTAATGAGCGAGAAGCTACCTAGAAGAATTCGGCATCCTATGGATAAGGGATTTCAAGGTTTTTGCAAATTTTGGCTACAAGAGGCAGAACGTAAGTTGGCATTTCGCAAGATGCGGAACCGATGTAAATCAGAAATCTGCCAATGGAACATACAAAAACAAGCCACCATCCTGGACCTTGCTCGGAAAAACAAATCGTACTGTTCAAATACGTGGGACCGCAGCACAAACAAACCATCTACGTTCTCCTTGAGGGACAGGATCAGGGAGCCCACGAGTGACCCAACAATTGTGTCTGAAGTTTACAGAGAACACTATGCAGATTTATATTCAGCCCCAGCATCCTCGTCGCATCCAGTTTTGCTAAGGCGACACTACGAACGGCCTCTAACCGATTTGGTTTTCACGATGGAGGACATCCGTTGACTCTTGCAGAAGATCAACCTATTCAGGGCGTTGGAACCCCACGAGGTCCATCCAAGAACCCTGAGGTAAACTGCGTCTATACTGGAAATTCATTTCTACCTAATGATTCGTCAGTCGTTGACGAAGGCTGCACTCGCTCTGCTTTGAAGGAAGGGATCGTCACGTCAATCTACAAAACAGACGACAAAGTTTCTCCCGGCATCTACAGACCTATAAGCTTCGATAGCGTACCGTGCAAAGTAATGCAATGCACTCCGAGTCATTCCAACCGCGTTACGTCCAACATCCTAATATCAGCCCAACACGACTTTCTCTCAAACCGTTATTGCCTGACGAACATGTTCGTACTTATGGGCAGCTTAACCTAAGCCCAAGACGATAACCTCATGTAGGGTGTCATATTTTTAGACTACTCAAAAGCATTTGATCGGGTCTCTAAAGTCCTGCTACTTCTTGCGGTACTCCGAGGAAAATAGTACGCTGGCTCAAGGCGTTCCGATCACACAGAAAATTTCGAGTTAAAGTTGGCTCCACCTACTCTTCTCCAGCGCCGGTCTCAAGTAGAGTTCATCGAGGCTCCGTTTTGGGACCGCTGCTCTTTCTGATATACGTCAATAACCTTCCGGATGTTCTTGGTAGTCAAATGTACTTTTTGTAGACCACTGGAAATCCTGGAGTTCCCATGCCGGTGCCCTGCAAATGGACGTAGACGCTGCAAAGCAGTGGTCGTTGGACGGGCACCTTCACCTGAATGACGAAAATTGTATCCATATGTCATTTGGAGGAGACTCAGCGAATGCCCTCGTCATGCATGGTGAGAAAGGACCAGAAAACATCATGAGGATAGACGCCAAAAGGGATTTGGGTATCTGGCTCTCTTCAACCTTGTCCTTCCCGCTGCATCATGAGAAACGGGCCAAAAAGGCATTCGCCGCTCTACTGATGAATTATCGGAACTTTTACCGTATTGCTCGCATGAGCATTCAAGTACCCTATGGGGCCTACCTCTCACTGATCTTCGAATATGCCAACCAAGCTTTCTACCCAGGACTCATAAAAGACGCAACCCTCATTGATTGTGTCCAGCCAGCTGCTAAGAAAATGGTTGCCGGCTTTAAATCCATGGACTAAATAACGCGTCTTGCGATGCCTGACCTCTTTCCCCTGGAGTATCGTTGCCTTCGATGGGATACAATTCTTACTTATGCCCCGTTTGAACCAGGCTTGGCAAACAGGTTGTTCATAGTCGACCTAGTAAACAGAGCGAGGACATGGTAAGAAGGTTTTCAAGCACAAAGCGCACCTTTTCCTTAGCCAAATATTTTCTCATTTCGGGTAGTAGCTGTGTGGGATAACCTGCCTTCGGCGGCTATCCACGCTCCTTCTAGAGCCCAGTTCAAACCACTGCTATTCGAGTCTTCGCGTTGGCAAGTATACTACCCCGCTCCGAGAACTTGGAGAGCAGCGCTACTCCTTTTTTCACTTGTGCCTTTCAGTTGAACGTCAGCCGCCGAACGACAAGAACAAAACCGACCCAGGAAAAGTAGACAGAATCCTCGATCCTGTGTATCAATCCTTGGATCCGTGAATCCGTGATACCAATATCTCACCAGCAACCCAATTATGGTATAGAATATGGAAGCTCTCATTATCGCATACATTCACAAATGTTGATCCTGCTAGAAGCTGCAGGTTTGTCGGATCCACCAAAAGCCTGAGAAGCCTTGAGAACTCTTGAACCATTTTTTGTTTTATCGCTTCAATACTGTAAGGTGTTGACGTGAGGCACGAATGTGAATGGAAAATATAAGCAAACGAGATGTACAAAACAAAATCGGGTGGTTTTTGGAGTTGAAGCCGTGTGACTTCAGACGGAAGCTGATTAAAGCATACTTAAAAGACATAAGGAGATGCTCTCGAAGCTCTAAGTATTCCATACAGGCCAAATTCTTGCCTACGAAACAAACACCAGAGTCGGTGTCAATTTTAACACTATTTGCTGGAAGCACACTAAATGTTGTCAGAACAGCAATTCAAGAGCTTGGTTTTGTTGAGGTAATTACATGTTACTTCTGATGGCGTATGTTTGGTTAGTCGAAGTAGGCTCAATTTTTAACCTCGTTATGAAATTAATTCATTTAGACGTGCATTCAGTACCCGAGTTCGAGTGTATGCCTGGACGAACGGAGATAGTACGGTTGAGGAGATTCACGGAGTTTAACTCGTGGATTCAAATCAGCCAAGGGTGGTGTCTCGATATAGAAACCTTATAGGGAATAATAACTTCTCAAAACAAAATATAAAACCGAGCAATATGAGTACTCTGAATTATCTTGACATGACACCACTCACTAGAATGCAATAGAATCTGCGCCCACTGGCGCACCAACTTCATTCTCCCGGTCTTCAACTGTTGATTACCCAAACCGTATTCTTATTTAATAAGGGGTTGAATAAACAGGGCCGGTTTATAGAACGGTATTGAACCGAGTATCGTTTGAATAGCGTCTATAATGCCAAAATCTTGGTCTCAAATAACATCAGATAACCAGAATTAATGAGGTTTCCCAGGCGATGCTTTAAGATGGTTAGAAGAATCTCTAATCGTCGTCCTACTGTTCTCACGTTAAACGAATATCGGACGCATCTCCGACGATCTCACCGTAAGATTTGAACTTGGATTATGAAACTTTAGAACGCATATGTTTTTTTAGATTGATAGCTATCCGATGACAGCAAGTGACGGCTGAAAATTAGTCCCAGCCGTGCAGCGATTTAATGAGTCACAGACACGTTTATTCTGGCCAGGAGTTCCAGCTACAATTAACGACGCTAGTCACTCTTGTTTGATCCCCGCTGGACAACCGTTTATGTACACGCGATTATAAAAACCCGGAAGATATTGTTGTCTCCTTTCGAGCTCACCATACCGGTAGTATTTTAATGGACAATTGAATGAAGAAAAATTCGAATAATATGATTTGTTATGGCTTTTGTGGCTAATAAGCAGTTGAGGATGTTCAACCTTTAGACATTGATTGAATTCTCAAGCGACTATTTGGTTAGATTCAACTTTGTATGTATGCAAATCCTGTTTTAACTCTCCAAAGCGCTCTCTAATGAGATCGCTTGACCAAGAATCCTATGGGCTGCCCGTCGTGATATGACTGAGGCATATGGGCTGATGAACACCAACTGACAATTTTGAGCAGAAATATCTGTCGTTAATGTGGATACAGACGCCAGATTTATGGGTATAGATAAACATGTCTGCTGCCGACATATCTACGAGCGTCTGCAGATGTAAAGAGTGGGCTGAGCAATTTGAAGTTGGCTGTGATCTCTATCGTGAGCAATCTCTGTTATGATATCTGTCTCCAGTCTGGCAATAAGAATTCATCAGTAATGATACAGTGCCTGGTATATTTGACCCAAAGTTACGAAGAAGGCCACCATCACATAGTGGTTACTCGCGTACATGTTCCTTAGCAGAAGGGCGACATGAACGGTCAACTAAGGAGTTTGCAAGTAATAACAGGTTGTTTTTTATTTTATGGACTACATCTTATGGACTACATTTTATGGACCACATCCAGAGTGTTCTATGATGCCAGTGTGAACTATTTGCGAGCTACCTTTCGAGAGATTTCTGATCTCACCAAGCTATGAGTAACGGACTAATAGGATCGTTCGCATCTGCGAACTTCTGGAGTGGAAGATGGACTCCATTAAGCTCACGTGGGAAACCATCAAAACAGCCAAGTCACTTTTGTTAAGGTGTCACAGGTTAAAAAAGCGCAGTAATTCCTATATTTAGATCTGGTTCGACAAAATCGAAGGCGTCCACATACCACCATTGCTCTCCGTTTTCGAAAGGTTTTCGAGAGGTTACCAACAGGTCACTCGAAAGGTTACAAACATTCAGGAGTCAATCAGCCTAAATATTTTTCAAGAGGATGTCACTGTTTGCGCGAATGCTGTATTTTTCGAAGGAAACGAGAGGTCCATAAAAGTTAAATGTCCAGACCCAAACATAGTTTTACAGATTTTTCTGATGCACTCCCCGGGGAAACATATTGAGTTACACAATTTGTACACAGTTCTCTTCATCGTAACCGCCACAGCTGAAAGAATAACATAAGTTTCATGCATTGAACCAAATTAGCTTATCATTTGTCATTGGATTTGCTCATAGCAGAGGGCTGCAACATCGCAAACTATCCAAATTCACTACCAACATCCAACTGTTGTCCAAAAATTCTGTAGGCAGTACGCGTCAGTTATAAAAAACATCTATGAACATCCATGTATGGTTGATATTTTTCTCTAGATCTGTGGTTCAGGGTATTTGGCTAAACCACTTGAGTAACCCACGTCAAAGAGAATGCAAATCCATTACAGTGCACAGCTGTTCCGTAGTCACGGCTACCGACTGATTACCAACCACATCAGTGATTCTGGGAGGCTATTAAAAGTGTTCATCAAGCAGATTGTTCCACTTTGTGAAGTAAAAGAAAGCCACATCCACTTTCAAGCCAGAATGGCTAAGCTGTGACGTACAGCAGCAGCTCAGTGGCGTACACAAGCATTTTAAGTCTAGAGGTCTTGAACGGAGCTTTGCATCAGTGCGATGTAACGAAACTTCGGGACAAAGTTGATATCGCGTGAAGGTAAATAAAAAAGGTAAGTACAACGCTTTTTTACCGTCGAATTTGTCATTCATGTATGCCGCTCATTTCTGTAGGTGTCGATTTTATAAAGGATGACTGGCCTAGTACCAGTGCCTCGCGCAATGCCTTACTTAAGACAAATTGTGAGTGTTAGTGCAACTACCATCCATCACAAGAAGCTGAGAACTTTGGTTCTTATCCATTGGCTAGTCAACAAGGCTTTAGATCCGATACGTCTGTATTTATCAATCTCTCAGCAACTAACAAAGGTGCGAGGTACATTGTTAGCCTCACCGAACGAGTACTGCGCTTTGTCACCGGAAGTTGGTCAAATTTAAACCATCCTAAAAGACCGGCTAATACCACTACCCGTTTTGGGAAGCTGCCAGTACAAAATTCACTTGGAAGTGGTCGTTGCGCGTGCCATGATGCTACCTGTGTTATAGTTTGGTACAGTTGAATTTCAATGTCGAGGACTTCTGCAAGGGACATTGGCTTTCTTTTTGTCTAAAAAACGGAGAGTTTTATTCGGAGGCAACACATGCCTTTAACTTCCAGTCAGAGCCTCAGCACGAGAAAAATGCAGTACTTTAAACTAAACTAGCCCTTAGATGTCTGCTGTCAAGATATTTGGCACATAGATTCGGAGTGATATCTGAATAGTGGTCCATACTAGGCTTTGTGCTATCGAAATTCGTTGCGCATTGTGAGCTTTAGTGTTGGCCTTCCTCTATTTGAACTCAGGACCAAGTTCGTGGCTTTTTTCTGTATTTTATTTGTTTTGCTTTTGACGGCTTCGTATGTGTTTGATTACGGATATCACTGGCCTCAGCCACATCGACGGTTGCTGAAGCATCAGCATGCTGAAATAAATTGCCCTCATTTCAACACGCTAGTTATTTGCCTCCCATCATATTCTGGGTTCACAAACCTAAGGTTAAATTTAGCAAAGAGCAGCAACAGTCCTTTTGTAAGCTAAATTGGCAGCAAGCGTGAACTGTGGCGGTGTCTGCCTATGAAGCTATTAACTTCGCTCGGCAATATCACCCTTTTCAGTCCATGAGTGTATACTAACGTGGTTCTGAATGTCATATGATGTCTAGCCTATCTTGATCAGCTTTATTAAGGCGTCGTCTGGTTCTACTTGGGATCTGAATGACAAAGCCAGGAAGTTTGGCCTCATAGCAGAAACAGTAGTCGTCTGTGTATCGTTTCTGTCAACACGACTGTATGGCACAGATTTTTCCGAAATATGTATGACAGGAGGAAGAATGCAAACTAACAATCGCGAACTATACACGAATTTGAGAACATCATTGCTCGTGAAACATCATCATTTTTCGTCCACATGACCTGATTTTGCAAATGTTAGCAGGCTTTAAGCTGTAGCACCCTTTCGGTGCTTAGCTGCCATGCCACCCGAAGGAAGCACGAGGGCTGAGATACTGCCAGGTTGCCCAAGCCTTGACAGGGGAAGTCGAGAGGCGGAGGTCGGATTCGAACCGCGGACCTTTTGGTCAGCAAACTCGTGCTCTGACCACCTGGGCCATCTCGCCCAAAACAACATATTAACCGAGAGTAGACGATTCAAACCGCATTAACAGCTTCTATTTTATTTAGAATTATTTATTACTAGTCAGTGTGAAAGATAATCTTCCGGAGACTTGGCCATAAAAGGTTACAATGTAGGAAAAAAGATACGAATCACTTAGATGAAAGCTTCTGTCTTCATTCGTGTAATATACAAAATTGAGTGCCTAATTTAATCTTTTCACAAAGGGCTAAATATCAGTTGAATCTTTCGTCTATCGAGCTGCCGTGCAAAGACCACCTTATGTTTTCCTCGGCACAAATTTCGAGTATCGCTATGACGTGAGTTGCTCATAAGATTGCTGAAAACTTCAACAACCCACAATCGGTTTCATCCTTCTTGAAGCTTATCAGGTATGCGAAGCCCCCGAGTTTCTCTGGACCCTATGTTCAACTTTGACTCAAGTTGCTCAAAATTTCCACTCATTCGCGCATCAATTTGGTCTTCTCAGGAGACTCACCCAAGTCCCGGCTGAACCCGTCGCTCTTAATATTCCTGAGATGAACCTCAGATTTCAACTGAAACTGCGATGTTTGGAACACTGTACTATATTTCCTGAAGAAAACTACTCACAGGGTTTCTCTTAAACTTCGCAGTAAACTTGTGGCTTGTTTTCTACACGTTCTTATTGCTAAAATACTTTACAAGTTAGCCGAAGCAAAGAATTAAGTAGAACAATACGCATTTCTCAAGAGTTCTTCACTTTCCGAAGAAATTCAAAAGGTGTAAGGCTGGTTAGCAGTTTTTTAAAACAGATTTCCGCATTCGGCTGTTTCCGCAATAGCTGAATGGAGTAGAATTCCGATACATTAACTTAGTGGCGTCAGTGAAGCTTTGTTGGGACTTCTCTAATGATTTTTTGAGAAAGGTTTGTATTCATTAATAGAGCAGTCACTCCTTCTTGTAAACATGTTGTATCGTGATAAGGGAGCATCGCAGTCGCCGCATCTTTTAGTCATCTGCCTAGACCGTAACCTGCAAACATTTTCAAACAACGTGTGTGTTGTTTTGATGTTTTTACAATGGCAAACGCTGGTATGATCTTTCCAAAAGCACTAGCCCAAAAACCCCGAAAGTGGTTTGTTTATGTGATATGATAGGCCAACTTCTGACAACACGGCCCACTTAATATTGTGTCCCATGGTTTGATTGCCCGATTTTTAGAGTTTATTGTTTTTAAACATCTTCTTCAATCCCTATTTTGGCCAGTCACCAACTTACGCATTTGTTCCCCATTGATGCAGATACTCGACTCCGCTGGCTTATTCGACATTGTATGGTGTGGCACCAGTCTAATCCCCGACATCCCACTTGAGAACAGATTTGTGAACAAATTCCCAGGTTGGTTATTCCCATCTCCACTTTCGTTTTGCAGCCTAATGAAAAGCACTACCTTGGATTTTTGCCTTACTTGACACCGCAGGAGCGTCAAATATACTCGGAAAAATCAATCTTTTCCGGACTCTGGAACTGCATCGACGTTTCTTTCCCCACGTCTACAAATTCTACCCTCCAACCTGGTTTCTGCCGTTTCAAAAACAAGCACTAGTTGTGGACTCTGCGAACGGTGAGGAACGGTGTTTCTCTGTAAATATTTGAAGTTTTTTCCGTCACGGGGCTTCTGATACGCACGTTTGAGTGTCTACAACCAATGATGTTTTGTCAGTTTCTATGTGAGATTCTAATGGACGGCAGTGATTTCTTGTTTGGGGGGGGGGAAGTCCAATGTCAGCTTTCTATCCGTAAATGTCGGTCTGTTAATTTGGTGTCAAAAGGCATTTTTGGTGATCCTTCGACAGGTGCGTTGGAACTGGCGCTTTATATTTCGTTTTTTTCCACCGTTGTTTATCGAGGCTTCTTTGCCCACAATTGTTGTGTTGGCTTGTGATGCCAAGATTTCTTTTTGTAGTCAGATTTTTGTTGCTGAATGGTCCGTACACTCAGTCTGACTTCTCCACAGGTTCGCTTAGCTGAATGGAACTTAGAAGTTTTGTTTGTCTAAAGCTCCAGAGCTCTAAAGTTGTTCGCCAAGGTGAAAATTCATAATGTGACCGCTTGAGCTATGAACAAAATGCGAGAATTAGAGAATAATTCTTTTCCTTCTCAGTCCTACCGACTACAAATATTTGAGCCGTCTGTGAATTGTTGCGTAGCCAGCCCACTTATGGTGAACTACTGCCTCTAGCGGAGTTCCTCACTACCGAGTTCGATTCTCTGTGTGTTTGGTTTTTATGCAAAACTTCAACCAGTACTAGTTAAAACAACTACAAATGGCCTTACGACTCCATTTTGGATTTCAATCTACACCGAAAGCCAACAAGTTTTTTGGAGCTGTTTCATCCTTCTTAGGAGTTATCAGCAAAACGCATTCAACAAATTACCAGGAATTCTATAACACGCGACCTTTCACTTAGTAGTTGAGCTATGTTTTTCCTTTCTGGGTCTTTCTCTTCAAAAATCCAGCTCAAACTGTAGCATGCTGAAAATCTTGACATATTCAGGAACGTGCTAATGACAGTAGTACGGTGGTGAACTACTTTGTGACTTGTTCCAGTCTGTAATCGGTCTCACTATGCAGTTAGGTTTAACTAAACCATACAGATGAATCTGTTCCATCTTGCAACCTTTTGAAAGTTATTTTACAGACTCACTCCAAAGTCTTCTGTTATATCTGACCGTTATTTCCACTCCAGTGCAAGGTGCCAGAAAAGAACTGACAGACAAGGGTACATAACAGCTTTATTCCAAACAAGCGAGTTTGTGCAAGTGCTAAAGTTAAATCGGCTCCGCGCTATTTTTGATCCGGGCTGTCTGCTGGGCATTTAGTGAGCACCCATCAACATCGATCGTGCTTCTATAGAATACCTGAACGGTTCGTGCTTCTGTGGCGTGTACTCATCCGCTTTTGCTGAACTGAGTGAATGATTGACTGGTCTGGATGATTGCCGGCTTTCCTATTGGTAGGGTTCTAGGGTCTCAGTAGGTTCTGGAAGTTATTTTCAGGAATCTGACCTTCCTGATACCTTGAAACACCTTTAGGCTTTTAACGATCATTACTCAATCATTCGCCAACTGACTAAGCTTGTTTGTATCAGTCAGTCGTCTATTGTGACTGGCCAGTTTTGGTCAGCATCATCAAACCTTGACCACTCCACTGGTTTCCTATTGGCTGAATGCCTAGTTTTTATTTAAAAAGATTATATACCTTCTTTTGACCTACCTGAAGCGACCTACCTGAAGCAGGACACATAACCTATCTCACGCCTCTTGTCTACGAAGGCGTGAAACACATTGGAGTTTTTCTTGACTGACAGCCTCCAGTGAAATGATGTGAGCGCTCAAACTAGCCGAGTTGTATCAAGGTCTGGGTACTGGTGAAAGGAAGAAGGCTTCCGCTGCGACCCAGTCCATCTTCCGAGGGCCTCTTCCGGCCGCATCCAGGGCCGCCTTCGCCCGGCCCCTGAGGGGAACCTTCAGCGCCACTCACTTACCCTGGTCTGTATCCAGTCCAGCAGCCCCCGCGGCCTGCTCAATGTCCTCCAGGAAGATCCGAGCATCCCCATCCTCAAAGGGTTGTGGCCAGATGATCTTCATCCTGACCCTGGTCACGGCACCAAATGAAAGGAAGAAGGCATTAACTGCGGCGTTGTTTATTAGAAAATGTCAACTGACCAGTTAGACTATTGGACAGGGGAGCAAAACTCTCGTATGCATCTTGTTTACAAAACTGAATATCCATCTTCTCGTTGCACGCGTCTTCTTGGACTTTCCTGCATGTTCATTGACTGTTTCCCAGTTGCAAGCAAATGCTACAGAGCAACTCCACAAATTCCGTAATAGATCTCACTTTTCAAGAGACGCAAAATGGAATTAAGAAAAAACATACTACTCACATGCCCCCCAGTAGTAGCACCGTTGCCCTGGTAGCCATCCTTGTTCATGGTGCTGACGCTGCACTATGCGACCAGAAAACCAGTTCAGTAGTGCTCTTATTGTTATATTCTATATTGACCACATGGCTGATGCGTGAATGCATGATACTCGTACGTGGGTTAGCAGTAGGCTGTACTTCTACATCGTTTTATGTTTCTTGGTACAAAATGTACCTGTTCAAGTTGATCTATCTGTTGCCTCACATCCGAGTGATCACATCTGGGTTTACAAAGATGGCGGCGAAAAACACAACGGCTGGCAATCGGAAGTTAGCCGTTGTGTGGGCAGTGCTCGACGCTTTCAGGTCAGAGGAGCTCTTTTGTCGGAGGTCTTCTTACTTGCAACCTGATGACTAAACCATACCTGTTGATGGCTTCGAGATTCGTCGCATTCATTTTCACATTACTGTCGGATTTCGATTTCCTCTCATCTGACACATGAGACGAGTCCGCGGCCACGGTGTAAACCAGGCGCAGTGAGGCTGTCAGGGATGACCAAGGTATATTTTTAGTTGTCCGACGTCGAAAGTAACTGATCATACATAGATCTCCGGATAGGATGATGGGGTTGATGATAACCTCTTGAGAACTTCCCTAGCATTTCAGCCTTGCAGGACAGCTTGTAGACGGGGGTGAGGTTTACAACAGTTGGCCTCATTGGAATAAACACTCTTTTCTTTCATAAAGGAAACTACTCACAAGGCTGCTAAAAACTCTTCGAAAGCCCCTGACCGGTTTCGCCCTTCTTGGGGCTCATCAGGTAGGCGCAGTCACCAAGTTTCTGTCAACCTTATGTTTTATTTTTCTTTCGATCATTCTACAGCTAATGATGTGCACTGTCGACTCAAATTTGAGTTTAACGCTTCCTCAGTCTGACATAGATCAACAAGAATGATCTTTCCAGAAAATGGGGGGCTTCTTGCTGTCGTTGTTCATTGCGTGTGTTTTCTTACGTGTTATCTGTCTTTATCAATCAACTGGTTTTGCATCGAAATCACCTGGTTCCCAACCTTGATTCTCTGGAACGATGTGGTGGAGAATTCGACAAACTGGTTAGATCTGGCTTTTTAATGTACTACTCATAAGGTTGCTGAAAATCCGTCGACAGCCCACGACCGGTTAGATCTACCTCGTCACAACAATTGTTCCAGATGTCCTACTCAGCTTACCTACACACTCAATTAGAACTTTGCTCAATCGTTTTGTTACAAATAGTTCGATGTGGCGGAAAACAATTTCACTCGAGCTCTGATCTTGACCAAATATGATTGGCCTCCCATACCACGTGAGTGAAGCGTCCTGACACACAGCGATTCATTATTTGCTGCCGAAAAACTGTATTCATGTCAAAACATTATGAGTTGCCGTTATGTTCAATCGATTGCTACCCATTCATGGAAGCAATCAACCATGAAGGCCAAGATTGGATTGCTACAAGTGCAACCGCTGCATTGATTTTGTTCCCAGTTTTGTTCATTTTGTACCGTTCCACACGGTTTGAGACATAAAGGAACTGATAGGATCGTTTTTAGTTGCTGAAAAACAAAAAGGGGAACATTTAAGAAAGGTTCCGAATGGTAGGGCGTTGGAATATTGGTTGCCCGGACAGCCACCATGGAAGTAAATGAAATCTCGTGGGGGTGAACTAGGATCGATTATGAACGATCAGTACAACGAGGGAACCACGTCGCTTCGATAAATTGCATTCACCAGAATTGATGGAGGTTTGCTATAGTTTCTGACCAACGAATGGGCACTCAATGAATAGTTCAGTCGTGAGATTTAGTTCAGAGGAGTTTGTCGCTAGTGAACTTTGTAAGTTTGGCACTAAGACCACCTGTTTAGTGTTTACATCAAGTACCGTTTTCTGTTTTCTCTTTCCAACACCCTAATCTATCCAATAGGCAGGTACACAGGAAAACTTCTAGAGTTGTATAAATTCCCGGAAAAAGCTTATTTTTCCAAGGTAATTAGAAAGCAAGTGTTTGGTTGTGCAACGGGGATTTCCATCGAAGACGGTGTCCAGCACCAAAAGTTGTGTTGATTATGCCATGTATTTTGCATGCCACATCATCGGTTGCGAAGTGAGTGCTGTTTTCATGTACCATGTTCAGAGTGATGGAAGCAAAATGGTGGCCAACCTTTGGTCTGGCAGAGGGGTATGAAAGAGATCATGGGAACTGTCATCACGACTCGCCTTCCAGAATGGGGACCGTGTGATCCCCATTTTGCATAGTTGGAGGCGCTGCAATATGTGGCTGATAGTTGATCGATGTCAGCGGTGTTCTTGTTGTCCGTTTCTGTGCAGATTACCGGAATGAGCGCCCGGAGGTGTGGTAGGCTAGAAGTGTTTCTTCCCCGTTTACTTCTGTTCTTCTTTTCAAAATGAAGCCTTCAAATAAATCCTGGTGGTGCTGCAGTAAAGCATCAGTGTTTGACTCGTCGATGATAATTCTCCAAAACTTGGGAATCGTTTCAAAAAAAATCATCGTGAATCAATAGGACTCCTGTATAAAATATCTTGAGGAAAATGTCGAAGTAAGCTAGATGAATGCAACTGCCGAGCAGAATTCCTTGCACGAACTCGTGTCTCTCGTACACTTTGTGGGTGAACATGAGTGGACTAACATGAGATGTACTCAATAGACCACTGACAACATCACTCTGACCGGTGCTGGGAAGTTTCTGATGAATTGGGTGAACAAACCCACAGTCATCATCATAATCTCAGCTGCCGTTTTATCCGGAACTCCTTTTAGTGGTTTATCAGGTTAGTTAGAATTCCAACCTTGGTACTTTGAAGCGCACTTTACCCAAATCTGATGTTCAGATTTCTTGTAGATGTACATTTCAACCGAGACCTTGGCCTTGATGCTTTGGTTCAATATTACTCAGATGTAACATTGTCTTGTGAAAACCCATAGCCTGTGTCTGGGACAAACACTGTGGAAGTTTACAGTGTGTTTTCAAATTTAAGTGACCCGTCACACCAATTTTATTTGTCGTCCACCTCACACGGGACGATGACAGAACCTGGATTTTAATTTGTGGAGATAAGTGCTCATTTGCCACCTAAGCCAGTATTAGCGGGCGGCTTAAGTGGTTCTTTCGTTTGTGACCAACTCATATTGGACTCACGTATTCTTACTTGCATACATCGGGTCTTCTGGCTGGTTACGAAATAAGATTGATGGAAATTCAAGCACTGGACCTACCCAACCAGTCTAAAACGGCAGAACCGGTAGTGGAATGTTCAAGAACTCCCATTAGCACAGATGACAACACGTAAGCACATCTTGTTGCGCAGTGCAGTTGAGAGAAAAGCCGGCTGACAAAGAGACGCGTACTGGTTTCGCACTGCTGGTTCAGCACACTTGCTTGTGATAAGTCTGTGGCAGCAGATAGTGGTAAACACTGAGATGTGGCCGGTGTTAGCACTCTCGCGAAAGAGGCCTCCCTCACTGACGCAGACGCTGTTTACTCAAAAAACACTGGATAATAAAGCCATTCGGTAAATGAACAGGTGACCAACAACTGATGTCGAGCAAAAAGACATGCCCACCATCTCACACCACAGACAGACGGCATCAACTTCTGCATTATGACAAGCCTGAAGAGAGATAATGTTCAGTCTCGTGCGTCAAGTCAGCGCTTGACGTTCTCAGTCAAGACGAAGGAAGCATGCAACGGTATCCCGGAAGTTGCCGAAGCTGCAGAGCCACTGGCCTGGTTTAAGAGGGTCACTTACCGAGTGACCATTAAGCAACCTAAGAAAACCCGTGAGCGTGAATTTTGCCGGGGTTCATCATCCAGATCTTAGGTACCACAGGACACTAGACAGACTATCCTGCGACAGTACTAGGAGTGACCATACGGACCAAAACAGATTAAAGCCTCCCTAGTCCCTATAACGGTGGAACAGTGAATCAGGTCAACGGTTTTTCGGGAAATTACATAATGGAAATCAGCTGTCCGCTTTTCACCTTCAAAGAACAATGCGAAGCGGTATGTTCAGCTTTCGTCCGTATCAGAAATCACTTCCTGTGAACATCCTCGTCTGTGCTCAATCAAATCAAACCATGCCTCTCTACAGATGGTCTCACGTGTGCGCTATGAGGCGGGTATATTAGTAACATAGGCCAAAAGTTGATCGCAAACGGAGGTCATTGTGCCTAACGGTTATTTTGCTCCAATCTCCAGTCAGCTAGTGAGCTTCGGCAACATGCCAGCTATCAGAGAGTTTAAACATTAAAACTTTGAAGAGAAAGACATTTATTCCATTTGATATTCAGTTGTTTTCCTGATTTATCTCACAAATTCTGATAGGAAGGATCTATCTAGAAGAAATAAACTTTTTTTCTAAAAAGTGCCAATATCAACAAGTGTAAAATAGATTAAATCTTTTTTTCGATCAAAATGCAAACTCTGAAAATGTCGATCTTTCATGATTAACGGTAAGACTTTAGCTGATTTCTGAAGGAAAAGGTTAAGTGATCCTCTCAGAGCACCACAATTAATATAGTTTAGACGTACTGAACTACTTATAAGGTTTCTAAAAGCTCTCCGATAGCCCACGACCGTTTTCGTCCTTCTTTTGGCCCATCAAGTGGGCGCATTACGCATCACACTTATGTTCTACTCGACCTTAGATTGCACGTAATTCGACCTATACATTCATCTGCATACCAAATTGGTTTTGACACGGGATCCACCCAGGACCCCGGGTGACTCACCTGTTTATGATATTTTTAATACAGTTTATCTCGCTCGCCGCCTAAGTCTGTGGAACTGGCTAGACAAATAACATCCACAAAGAAAAAAAACCTCATCGGATTGACCCAGTGGTGAATAAATTCCTGAAGTCACTGATGACGTGATTCGTTCTTGTCAACACCTGGTATTAGGTATCAGCGGATGGCTCGGAAAGAGGCTATGGAACACCCAAAACGGCTATCACCATCAGGATCATCCTCAACGGAATGATTCTGGTGCTCAACACGAGTCCTTCAGTGCCGTATAACTATGGTTTAAGAAGCCTCATTATGAAGAAAAGAATAAAAGTGAACTGGGAGGAGACTTAGTTCTACTCTCATTTCCCAGTGTTTACACCTACACACATTCAGTTATTCTGCATAGAAACTGATAGCAAAAACACCGTTGACGTCGAGTAACGGTCACATAACGCAGCGTCTCGAATTGGGTACAGTGAGGATCACGCAGTCTCCGACAGTCGCTCCGACAGTACCCAGACTTTTCGTAATCTCTTCCTTACCCCTCGCCTTTTGCGCCAATCTCAACTGGGCACGGAAATGGCACTCTCTTCACAAGCACAGATATGGACTGTGCACTACACGGCCTAACCACCGTAACGTTGGGCATATTCTTCGATCGAACCCTTTGTTGAACAACGGAGTCTTTCGACTAATTGAGGTCCAGTAGTCTCCAGAACAAATTATTGTGATGTAGACTGTTTGGACAATGGGTGACTCGTCTGTTTCATCGGTGTGCGTCCTCAACAACTCCAATTTCGGGTGCACTGCTCCGATTGCCTTCCGGAAACAGATGACCAGTGAATTCCAACGGCTATGGAAACACTTACTGGGTTATCCTGTAATTGTAATTTCTACGCATGGGGAGAAAAGCAATCTTGCAACAAACGGCAAGCTGGCACAGTACTAAAGTCTTCGGTAGAGGTAGAGTAGGATTGACTAGGATGTGATCCAATCAATGCACTTGTTGATGCAGTGTAATGCAGTGGATGGGTATTTGAAAACCAGCAGTGTAATCAATTCATTGTAGTCAACTCGTAAGGACTGAGGCCCGCCGCGTTTACGCCAATTTTTGTAATACATCAACATCAGTCTATCTGGATCAGGGTATCTGTCGGTTTTGTTATATCTGCTGATTCGCCGACCTGTTGTATCTGCTGCTAGCCCGCCCCAGTGTCTAGTGCCGGAGAAAAAAGACTTACAGAAGGGAACACAACCGCTATATTCCGAACAAGCGAGTAGGAGAGTAAAAGTTACGACGGCCCCACGGTATTTAAAGAGGACTTTCTGACATTGATCCAGGCACTCTGATAGGCGTTAGTGAACACACATCAACATCGATCGTGCCTCTGTGAAAAGCCTGAACGCAGATCACATTCGGTCGTGCTTGTGTGGCGTGGATGAACAACCATCAGCTTTTGCTGAATTGATCGAATTATTGACTGGCCTGGATGCTTGCCAGATTTTCTGTTGAGATTTTGGTGGGGCAGTAGGTTTCGGGCGTTTTGAGGCTATATTCAGACATCTGACCTTCCTGATAGATTTGCACGAAAAACTCCTGTGAATGTTATACTACATCATTTTTGCCACACAAATTTTTCATAAAAGTTCGAAATATTGGGATCCTTCCATACCGGCCAATCAGAAGTTTGAAGTCAAATCAATATAACTCACGGGATATCTATTCTCAGGAAAATTTGACGAGCAAAAAAGCTGTGTACTGGAATTTGAAAAGACATGTATGGTTGAAATTCAAGATTAACTTTCATGTTCTGGTGTTGGACTGACAACAGCCTCTAAACAAACTTTTTCCAACCATTTTCAATATTGTGCACCTCGTGTGTCCTTAATCACTCCACTCAGCAATAGCTTATCCTGCGCGTGAATCCGCTGGCGAGAGAAAGACGGAAAGTATGTGACCATCGCATTCATTTATGTGTCTGAAATGTCTTCAGATCTTCAAATTTTGACGGATTCGACTCCTTTTGTGCTTCCAGCTCGGATGTGTTCACCATGAAGCGCGGTTCGATAAATACTTTCATTTGCATGCGAAGTTCGTTCTGACAGGATACCCAGCTAAATTGTGCTGATTATCTCATTCATGATAGTTTGGTTATCTCTGAAAAGGGTGAAACAGATCGCGGGTTAACGAAAAGTTTTCAGCAACCTTATGAGTAGTGCGTAATGTCTGTGAATGCATCTGATTCGCCCCTTCACATACATCCACACAAGCCTAGCTACTACTATGCCAGTAGTGTTGCGTTCGTGGATTAATCAACTTGGCGGAAAAATATGACTGCGATAGTTCCCGTATTCAGCAACAGCGGAATATGGCTTCCTAGTTCCCTTCTTGCATAGATGTGATGGTCAGATAAGTCCAAGGTTTTTAACTTTTTCTTTTTCTTTGTTTCTTGTAATTTTTGCCCCGATTTCGGCTGCTTACACTCCCAGCAGGTAAGACCAATAGTTCACAACCCAGCTTCAAACATACTTACATCGTCAAACCGGATAGTGGTACACAAGGAAAGGGGATCTATTTGTTCCAGTCACCCAACTGCTATTCGTTTCGACAGACACCCACCAATACCAACTGCACACTCAACAACCTTACGGGTTTCGAGCAAGATCCGAACCGTAGCCCTCAGAATCAACTCTCTCGTTCTGCTAGCTTGGTCGAACTGGACACTGTGGAGGTACGCACGCCCAATGTGAATGGACTGCTACCAGCTCTGGATGTGGTACAGCGTTACGAGGAGAACCCTGTTCTGCTGCAGGGCTGTAAGACGGATTTGCGTGTGTACGTATTGATCGAAACCCTAATCCCTTTACGCATCCACGTGTACCGTGATGGACTAGTTCGACTGGCCAGCCAACTGTATCAAAAACCGGAAAAGAGAAATTTGTGCAAGGTATGTTCCACATGAGTTCAACCACACGCCCACTGACGGTCGGCGTTTTTTGCGAGAGGTACCATCTCACACCGTTCACACGTTTTCCAACTCTAACGTTTTTAGTAATCAAGGTCTCAACGATCTCACGAATCGCGCATCTATATGTAGAGAACTGGTTCGCTACACTACTACCCTAAAATGGCACATCAGGTGAGGGTCCCCACTGCTTAGCCCGCAATCTCACCAACTGGGGAACCAACCCGAAGATGTGAATCTATTGCTGATATCATTTTCACCATTGGTCGGTTGATTATCTTTGCTGGTTAAACGAAACCAGACGCTCAACAGTCGTTCCCCGTTTTCACAGTTTCAAAACAAGATCCTTCGAGACAATAGTTAGTGATTAGTTCGATGACGTAAGCTCTCTGACTGAAATTTATCTTCCTCCAGGTGGTTTTCTCCGCTTGGTTGTCCGGGCGTAACCAAAACTTGTGGAGATGGAGCAATGTTAGTCGGAACAACGGAACAGCTGGTCTGATGCGCACGCAATCTAATAATTCAAATCAATCATTGCTGTCTGCGGTACCTTCATCTTGGTTTACTTTTTTTGGAAAGATTTAGTCGGTTGCTGGGAAAATATTCACATACTTTTGGTCTGTGAACTCTAGAGTCTTTTGTGAACAATGAGGCTTTCATGGTTGTACGGCAGTGACGCATCGGCGTTGAGCACTGATGCCATGCTGTCGATGATGATGATGATTGTTAAACGTCTACAAAGAACAATCAGAACATAAAGGAAACTACTCACAAGGTTGCTGAAAATTCTTCGACAGCCCACGACCAGTTTTGCCCTTCTTGGGGCTCATTAGGTAGGCGCAGTCTCCAAGTTTCCGTCAACCTTATGTTCTACATGAACTCAACAATCAGAACAGATGCATGGATGGATGGTCTCCCCACTTTGCTGGCAAACGATGTGGAATTCGAAGTTACAAAACAATGCTCACAAAGGAGGGTAGGGAGAAGACAGCCCTAATTGTCTTTTGACACCTGCTGTGATGTGTCGCTGTTTTTTACCGTCGATGTTGGAAACCGCATTTGCAGACAAAATCTACTCCGGCGACACCAAGACCATATTTCTCAGATTTTGTCTAAATCATGTTTCATCAAGCACCTTCACCTCTAGCAGCACCAATCCTGGTTTCCAACTGTCTTGTGAGCAGAGAGAGCTTAATGTCACAACCGTACTTAATAAAGCTTCAACATTATTGGTTTGGTATGGAGAATTTTAGTGCCAACCGGATGTGTCCATCGCTCTGCGAGAAGCGCTTAAGTTACGGAAAGGTTTCCTCATTTCCTCTTATCTGTAGTGTCTGTTTCACCAAACATGTTGAAAGTTTGTGCGAACGGAGATGACGCACGCGCCCAGAATCCGTGATAGTAGAGAGAATACTTATACTTCATACCAGCTGATTTCGCGTATGCGGTAGTTTCAAATTATACTAGACAAAAGGTCATCGGTGGCCTAGTCGCGTCCTCACCCATGCCGAGTTCCAATCCGAAAGGAATCACTAAGCGAGCATTCTTTACTTTCAAGGAATTCTACCTGGAAATACTTGGAAGGGTGTTGAGTTTAGTGGTCTGGTTGCCCTAAAACCTACTTTACCAGGAGTGTGTGGCAAAATAAAAATAAAAATTAATAACGCTAGATCAAGTACACAATTACACAGTGGGTCAAATGGAGCCGACTTACTTAGAATTGTTCTTTTTTTAAATAGTTCGTCGTTAGCCAAGGTCAGCGGATAAATAATCATCCAATTGTGGTTGTCCAGGGATCTTTTTTCGAACAGTTCTCACATATAATAAAATCCGAAGATGGTCTGAAATGTTTTGATATCAGGGTTAGTACACAAAACTCACGAATGACCACTCTAGGTGCGAGCGAAATCAGAAGAGAGTGGCGAAGCACGTGACCACGGTTGTCCTTGTGTGTAACTGTACAAATGCGCGTTTTTCTAGTTTGTGCGTATTCAAACAAAAACGGTTATGCAATTGACGAAATACGTAGTGTTATAATGGAAGCAAAATAAAGGTACAAAACACCGCATCAACAGCGAGCAGGACTTTGGTCAGCATTTGACCATGGTTATTCTCACATGCGATTTGCCAACTACCGGATGTCATCGTAGGTATTTATGCCATTAGTTATTTATGCGCACCGCTCAAAACACAAAATATTTTCATGACACTCATATAAAATTTTATTATATCCAATGCAGTGCTTCTAGGGTTGTCAGCAACGAAGGAGGTTGTCTAGCGAGTACTAAATAATGTAGGGTGAACGGAAAGCCCTGTGTGATGGTGATATCTTTGTTCTGATCACTTCTTACCTTTCAATCAGCTGTTGCCAAAGGACAAGTCCATCGCTCACGTGTTCTCAGGTGTTTACTTAGCTTGCTGGTATCAATAGTGTCATTTTGTGTTCCAAAAACCACATTGTTTCAGACTTCGCGGGTTCTCCTCAAGACGGAGACCTATGTTTTGACCGGCATGGTCCTATGCTAACCATTATCGGGACGAGTCCAGGACTAACTCTCAAAAGTTTTGAGCAGTCTGACTTTGTTAATTGTCCTCAAGTAATTTCACCAGCAATCACGTGTCAACTAAGCAGAACTAACCACCTCACTGTGTCCCATCCACTTGGAAGAAAATAACTGTGGCAGCACAGGACGTTGTTCCAGATTAATTACTGCATTCTTCAAAGATCAATTTTGTTGCCTACTTCCTATGCTTTTATCATACCCTATCATTACCATGTCATAATCACCTCAACTCCCCTTTTTTTACGAATATCAGCACACTATGCATTTGACTAATTATGCAATCAACAAACTTCATCATCCGCCGAAATCCAAAACCACAGAACTCAATGTGTCCGATCAAAACATGTGTCACATGAAGTCCGAAACGTGTAGCCCAGCTGAAGAGAACACTGACAATGTGCAGGAATGGCAGTGTAAACGAAGTCTACGAGACTTACTTCAGTCTCCGGAAGCGTTTATTCCTCCCGAAGAGGTCAATCCGGATAACTGGAAACATATCGATCCGGTTAAACTATGGAATGAATTAGACTCGATTATTCGACTGACGATCTTCGCTCTAGTGCCTCACTTCAAAGTGGCCTATTGGGCCAAGTATGGACGTCCACTTTCAAAACAGACTTTCGAGCCAAACAGAATCCCCTCCAGGAGTGAAGTGCAAAGCGACCAGGGAACACGTGGAGGTTTATCTCATGACCCATGTTGTTTCCAGGTATAGTCAAACAGTGGAGCGGTTGTTCTGCGAAGTTATTTTGTATTTTCTGCCTACTGTTGTCTAGTGAGTAGTAAGTCATTACTATCATTCTCTTGGTCCTCACTCTGACCTTGTATTGACGTTCAGCATAGGTATCTGTCTAACTGAACACTGGAACAGCATTTTGTTTGCACATCCAATCAAGAACTCCAAAAATAAGGACTTGTCTGAGGTTCGCTGAGATTAGGCATCCACACGAATTTCGTTCCAAGGTTTTGTAACGTGTTTACACCCTGGCGCTCAGGTAGAAGAAAAAACAGATCCAAATAATGGAATTGCAAACATTTTGACCGCGTAGATCCAAGTTAATGACACTTTAGCCTGAAGAAATTCCAGTGGTGATCATTTGTATCGGGTTGGCGACCGTGGCCCCCCTGGACGAGGATCCTATTTCTCAATCCAGCAGTGATTAATTGCTGATATAAAAAAAGATAAAATATCATTTCACCTGCCAATAAGCTTACCTAAAGAAATGACCGTTTCACAATTTCCATTGTTCTGCACGCCTTCAAAGCGACTTTGCTCGGTAGACCAGTAGAGGGAAGGAACAAGTAGTGTGCTTGGAAGTTCCTTCCACTCCAATAGCATGTGAACAAGTACAATATTATGTGGTGATGTAAAATCCCTTCTTTCGATCAAGCCTTTTATCAGTAGACTAACCACATCGTCGGACTTGCCGAGCATGAATTTGCGCATTCTGGCGTAATCTTCAAGCATATTAACCGGTTACCAATCCCAATCGGGTGATGTGGTAAGGACGTTTTACGCACAACGAGCTCGGTTAGTTTCTACTCACATCTATAGTTGGCTTCCTGCTAGGACTTTTATGTGGACTCCTAATACCGACTTCTTTTCTTTGTTGTCTAGTTAAGTGCGTTTCTAAAGGACTGTGCAAGAGAGTTTTCATAAATCTATGTTAATGGACAAATGCAAGTATGCACTATGAGCAGTCAACGTTCTGTTTACCCGGCGTAAATTGAAACCCCAGGGCCGCGGTGGAATGTCTGATTAGTGCCAAGTTTATTCCAAGAAACAACAGCAGGGTATGCAAGGCACGAGAAAATTCCCTCCTTCGTCGTTCAACAGTCTCCTGTCAAACTGCGCTGGCATTCTTCCGTAGGCTGTTGTGTTCTGCCCAGTAGTCTACTGATATCAATCACCTACGGGCCGTCGTGCGAACGATTGGGCCATTAGCGTAGATGCTCAGGTGGTCACTGGTGCAAGAAGCACAACTCCGCTTTAGGGCTCTACGGGAACACTGGCAAATGCGGTACCCAGACCTGTCAGGTTAGCTAATCTCAGGAAAAACGAGCATATGTCTCACCATGTGTTCTCCATGTGTTCTTAATTTTCAATTGAGCTTTCCTCTTGTGGGTGAATCCGGTCTACACTGAAAAGCCGACAGTTCCATCTGAGAAATCGATACCCGCCTAGTCGATCAATACGTGGCAACTTGATGTGACGAAATGATGAGTGGCGCCATATTCTGTGTAGATGTGAGCTAATCGCAATGCTTGTCAGCCGCTTGTACCCGAATGGCTACGAGTTCACACTAGTAGCCGGGAGGTTGCTCCCCTTGGTCTATATCCCCCGAAAATACCAACAATTTTTAATAACACCGATAATTCTGCCGCACTGTTTGGCATGCGATTCACATGTGCAAAGTGTAAGATGCTGCTACAAGCTTGCGTGGGAACATCATACTTGTAGGTGAGCCAATTTACGTGATAGATAAATGTATAAGTTGTATAAGTCCCGGTGGAGTGGCTAGTGATGAGATTAATTCTCGAATGAGTGAGGCCGGGGCAGCTTTTACAAAACTCTGGCACCTATATCGCCGATGTGACGTGAGTTTGTCTGTCAAGGGCAGGGTGTACACGGCTCTAGGGATCACGATTGTGCAAAGGGAATACAAAGGTTATCAAGTTTTGGATAATATGTCTTCGTTGCATTTTCTGAATTTGGTGGGAACATCGGATCAGCAACGATTAGTTAGACCAGAAGGAACTCTCCCAAGATGGATGAAACACTCACTTTCCATAGGTTACGGTGGATAGGTCATGTACTCCTCATGCCTGAAAACCGTTCGCCTTGCAGAGCCCTTTCAGTTGGACCCTGTGCTGAGTGAGGGCGATCCAGAGGTGGACAGTATATGACCTAGAAACGAAGTATTAAAATCCTAACCAGTAAATTCAGTCAGGTTGACAACAGTTCCCTCCCAGGATGTGGATCTGACAGAAATGGCCCAACCGCGCATCGCGTGCATCAGAGCAATCGCCTTCAATGCGTAGCTACCCACACAATCGCCTTCAAGGCTTGGCCGTTTCCCCTGCAATCCCTCACCCGATAATCGAGACTGCAGCAGCTGGAACCAATGAGCCTATAGTACATTGTTCATAGCTGACATACGGAAGTGACTGACTGATGGATTGACAGGACTGCAGCTTGGTTGAAAATTTTCTTTAACGGTCTAAATCGTTACCATCCATTTACCCTAGGTATCTACTATGTCTGTAAAACGAACTCGATTAGCGTTGCTTTGTCACAACATGGTTCACTGTTGACCGCAGGCTGCTCTTCGCTTCAAACACATGAGTTGAAAAGAACTTCGTGATTTTTTTGTTCTGCAAAGTTTACAACATTTAGGCGGAATTTCATTTTGGTCCTTTGCAGTATAGATGTGCGCCAAAATTGTGGTATCGACAGCACCAACTGCAGTCAGTTCTGATAACCTGCAAAGGTTACACATTGTACATCAGCTTAGTGCACATTCAGACAGTGCTAGCCTCTAATGCTAACCGGCTATCCTTGTTGAAAGCGGTTACGTTCGGAATTTTGTATCCAAATTAACCGAGTTACTGACACCCAGAGTGTCTGGTTGGGTTTGCGTACTACTGTTGAGCCGTGTATGCTGTTTAAATAGCTGTGTGTGACATTTTAATTAATCGACTGCAGTCATTATTGTTCGCCTATTGGCGACGGTTCGCATACTTGGACGTTGTTGTGAAGCTCACGATCGTGTTCTTCTATCAAACTCATTGCCACAAGATACACGTGGATGTGGCAGGATTGCTGTCGCACTGTTTGCAATGAGCTTCGATGACAGTCCGGCGATGTGGTTGTGAATTTTGATGTCTATGGCTCACAACAATCTGGCCACCAACAAGATGGGTGAACGTAAATGAACAACGTTGATGTCTAAAGTATGTACAATTCGACGACAGACTCACCTGTAACCCAGCAGAATTCCTCGTTTATGATGTTCTTAAGCAATTGAATGTGTTTCACCAGGCCGCTTCATGTTTCAGTTGGTACGGCGTTCGATACATCGCAATACACTGCGTAAACGTTCATGCAGAACATAAGGTTGATGGAAACTATGGGACGACACCTACCTGATGAACATCAAGAAGGGCGAAACCTATCGTGGTCTGTCGAAGAGTTTTCAGCAAACTTATGAGTAGTGTGTTAGATCAAAGCCTTGACGTCTCTGGTGTTGCTGCATTTTTCTGCGATATATTCGTTTTTTTCCATGCTGCCATGGAAAACAAATATATCGAAAAGATTTCGCACGTAAAAACTACTTTTAATCGGGAGCACCATGGAAGAGTTCAGATTGGAAAAATTTCCTTCATCATCATTGTCAGCTGCAATAACCGCGTGCTCCTCGTACAGTGATTGTGGCTGCCGCAGTTTCGTTCACCCAAAAAAATTTTTTCGGGGGTAGTCCTTTGGCACCATTACGCAAGACCATCAATCAACACCGTAGTCAGGTAGTTGCGCATTGCAGGCGGGAGCTGATAAATTGGTGCATAAATCGAGCATTGTCAGTGGGCTGTCAAGTGGGGGGTTGAGGGTTGGAAAAGTAGCTATGCATTCAAGGCAATAACTTTGATGCACGAGCGCCGTTGAGGGCGCGACTGAGCCATGTCTGACAATGTCTCTAGCCATTGGCTCCTTCAAATTTCCTCTTTGACACTATTCCAATGATATCGTCCAAAATTTTTGCGGTCTGAAGCTGCCATAGTCACTCTTACTAGGGTGGTAAATTTTACCGCTGCTCATTTGCTTTCAACTTTGTTTTTTGGGTTCTTATTGACACCCTGCACGCTTAAACGTAGAACTTAATTGTCCCTCACAGGTTGATGCATTGTGATTTGTCTTCTGTTAGCCAAGCAGTTTGACAGCGCCACGTTCCAAATGATTCGCCAATTGTACGTTCACGTTTTAGGAATTCAAACAATAAACTTGCTGATAGGTGAAATGTGTTGGAACACTACGATGTGCGACTGATGGAAAGTTGAGTCCCAGGAAGAGTGGACGCACCAGCGCATTGTCCAGATTTGCATAAACCACAATGAATTTCAGAACTTTTTTTCCAATTTTCTGCGACAGATCCTCGGATTCGACTTCCTTCTCGTTGAACCAGACAATCATCCCATACTCCTCGAGGTGAACAGTAACCCCAGTCTCCGTACGGACGCAATGCATCACTTCAGTCGATGGCCAGTATCTGACACTCATCCCACAACAGGTAGTTCTTTGGCACCATTACGCAAGACCATCAATTCAACACCGATGACAGCAAAAGCAACCCCTTCAAGGCTCCTCGCTGAGACAGCTACCTTGTTATCTGCTGCGCTGGGTGATCGCTATGCAGAGTTCGAGCGAAGTAGTGTTGACGAACAGGTCAAAGGAGGTCTGGTACACTGCACGCTGAAGGTGATTGCTAGGAAAATACGCAAAAGGCGAGTAGCGCAATCTGATACCATAATGCATCGCACAACGGAAACCGATTCACCGAAATCCCGAAGTCCTCTAGACTGCAACCTAATGACTGCGCCCATACAAGTAAACCAAATTATAGATATTCAGCTTCCAGCTCTCACTGTTCCACAGAACTTGGAACATCCGGCTGAGAATTCACTGAAAAGAATAGGCCATCCGTCTGAACTGATTTCAAACACAACCCTACTACCAACCATAAGATGCGGTGCACGAAAACGTGACTTTGGGAAGATAGAATCCACTCTCAAGCGTCGAGTAATATGTCAGAAATTCGTGATGCCGAAGGGGTTCAGAGCAGCGACTCAAGGTGTTTCAGTTTCGAATTCCACAAGACCACGTGAGAATAAGGTTGAAAACACTTCAATAGTCACGGCTACTGAAGCGGATCGCAACAGTAATACACTTCGAGTGACTACCAGGTATGGTGTGGAGTGTACTACAGATGTGCTCAATATCGTTTTTATATGAAATAATAAAAGCTACCGTCATGAAGCTTCGCATAACTGAACGTATTGTTACTGTGTCCCTGTACATTCTTTCTGCAACATATGAACCCAAGTTAAGCCATTTCTGGGTAAAAAGTTTTATTTCACTGCAAAATTCGTATTTACGCTCATAATCTGTCCACACTGACCGACTGCTCTCAGTGTGCTGCAGAGTAACACAGATAAGTGAATTAATCGTATAACCTAGTGTAAAACTGTACGAATCAACTCGATGGACTAAGAGACTTGGTCCTCGTTCACCAGACACTGTTTGGCAGCACACATTGGACTTTAACCCAGAATTTAGAGAAATGATGACTGATCTGCCATATCGACCGAGTAACCCCACACTCGAGAACGCAGACTGTCGAACATCAATAGTCTCAGGATGTCGTCATCAGACCAGCACACATTCAGCAGTCAGAATGTAAGAAGTGACTGTTAAAATGCGCCTTTGTTTTTTTTATTCAGTGATGAAAATAACCGGGGAACAACGTACACACCTGGTCGAAAAATAGAATTTATTTTAATTGAACTGACAATCTGTCTGGCTGTGTCTGTCCCCTAACAAAGACAAGTTCAAGGTGCAACTTGCTTTTGACGACACAATGCCGGGTCACATGGCCGTACTGGTACTAACAAGCGACGCCCGTGAACCCACTACGGGGCACTATTTGAAACTTGGGTTGATCCTGTGGCCACACCCAACGATATGTGATGCGGATAAACTTTTCGCCATGGTGCTCCGTTATTCCGACATGAGAAGTGCTCATATACTGGAGTGTCGAGTTGCCGTGCCGTGCACCCAGCGTATCCTGCTTTCAGAAGCAATTGCCCAAAGAACCATCCCTAGCATATGAACCGACATTTTGCCTTTGAGGTTACAAGTGATAATTTGCCTCATGGAAAACCACATTCATGGTACTGTCGTAAGGACACTTGACTGTGTCTGCCAGCAAGTCGCCTCTGTTTTTGGTCGATAAAACTGGATTGGTTTGTTCGCAACGGACGTTAGTGTCGGCTTAGCATGTCCTGTGGAGGTAAAATGTCTGGAATCAGTGTCTTCGGTTCCATCTGTCCTGATCACGTGACATCAAACGTAACTCATGATTATCCGTCTTTCCGACTATATCACTAACCTCTTAACTGAGAAGAGTAAAAGGCTAACCCAGAACCAGGTGTAAAGTGAATTCATTGTTAGCAAAATACACTCGTTTGCAGACAAATTTGGCTTTGTGGGAGACTCGCCTGGAGCCCAGCTAAAACCCTCTTTTATGTTTCCAGGCAACTGAATGTGCTGCACCAGGCCGACTCACGTTCCCGTTGCTACGATATTCAAGATATCACATGGAAACATCACAAACGAGAGATTTGGCTGGAATGTGCTGAGGCCGACTCACGTTCCCCTTGCTACGATATTCAAGATATCACATGGAAACATCACAAACGAGAGATTTGGCTGGGTTCCTTCCAAGTCTCTCATGAAAACCAAATTTGTTTGCAAATGAGCCTATTTCGCTAATTTCGTGCAAGTTGAGTTCAAGTAGAACATAAATTTGACGGAAACTGGGGGACTGCGCCTACCTGATGAGCCCAAGGGCGAAACCGGTCGTGGGCTATCGAAGAATTTTAAGCAACCTTATGCGTAGTGCAATACGAATGCAGTGTTTTACTCCATGTTATGTCGACAGCATGCTTCGTTGCTGTAGAGGTGGCATGACAGTCAAAATCATGGTTGTATGAGGAGTGAGATACTGACAGGGTGCCCAAACCGATCCAAAGCCTAACCACAAGGGATTGGGTGTTTGGCGGGAATGTAAGTGCATTGCCATTTTTGAATAACAAGTTACCACGAATGTTCCAACCAAAAAAGCTGGGGGGGGGCAGAGGAATTTGTTGGTCAAACCTCTAATCGTTGCCCAACCTGGTACGAGAAACTTTGCGAATTTCGCACGGCCATCTCTCAGTACAGATCGATGGGTCACGAGAGGGTATACAGACCACCACACCACGGTAAGATTCAGTCTTTTCGTGACAGGACCCCTTAGTGCTGTCTGCACGTTGGCAAGAATGACCCTTGATCATAAGTGCCGAACGAGAATAACCGGCTTCTCACCGGACAGCTGAGGCACATGTAGGCAAGGAAAGCGTAGATTCTTGAATTCTAGTCTAGTATTATTAAAACCTGTTCCCTTCTTTAGTGAAATACACTCATTTGCATAGCAATTTGGTTTTGGCGGAAGACTCCCTGGAACCCAGCTGAACCTCTTTACTTTGCTAAATTAACCAATACGTAGTTTTGTATCGATTGAATGACTGGTTTAAGCAAATTCTAGACCTCTCTGGAACGCGCAGCAGCCTGGTTCATTAGGCCGCCAAAAGATTTGTACGTCATGTAGGTGCCAGCGAGATGGTTAAGTGATTAGAGCGAAAATTTACTGACCGGTCCGTAAATCGAACCCAAACTCGGAATCTCGAATTCTCTTGTCTACGCTTTGAAAATCTGTCAGCATCCCAGCCCTCGTGCTTCCTTCTTGTGCCATGGCAGACAGCCAGCGAAAAGCTGCTACAGCTGAGTACTGTTCACCGGCTTAAAAATTCCGGTTGCATAAATATGAGCCAATAAACTTTCTATTTCCTCTTCTGAATTAAAGTTTTACAAACTTTCAATCATAGCCTCATTTTGTGTCCATATATACTTTTCTTTCCTCTGCACCGGCATAAACACATCAACACGTTTCATGAGAAAAGTGGAAGCTTTCGGCCTTTTTTTAAATTCATTGCTGCTATTCTAGTCACACCGGAAATAGCTGAATTCGTGGCACTTACGTAAATCATCGACAATTTGGGCCTGAAAAATTCTGTGGGAGCAAAGCAAACGAAAGCACACCAAAATTTGAGTAGACCGTAAATTTCTCTGGTTGTTTCAGAAGAGCTTGGTAAACAATCGGTAGTTTTTATTTGGGCGACGTTTCGCTTTTGACACAAAAGCTTCATCAGGCCAAGCGAAAAGGTCACAAATTTGGCCAGGTTATAAGACAGACGGGGAAACAATCAGTAAGTTCTCTTCAGACTAAATCAGTGTTGAGTGTCAATTAACGACTCTTGTAACCAGGGTAAACACGTCGAAACGTGTTGACCCAAGTCCTGGAATAAGTCGGGCTAAAAGCGAAAAGACAGTCAGTGAGACAGAGGGACACACGCGGCCCGAGCAAGTTTATAAAATCTACTATTGCTTTTGGCTCTTCTTCGGATTCTACTCCACATTTATGGACTTACGAAGCATTAGAAAATGCTCCATTATGTTGTTGAAAGAGATCGCCATTAATGGATGAGTCCCTGGACGGGAGGAAATATTGTGTGTGCGTGTGTACAGTTTGGGCAACGCCTGGTGGTCACACTCACTTGGTACAACTTTATTGAGTCTAGCATCGGATAATTTGAACTTGAAGAACTCGGAGACCGAAGTAAAAACAGGTGGCCATAAACCAATCACATGGTCTCAAAGTTTTTTTGATTGTTTTAAGATGCCCGACTCATCGAACGACGACCCGGTAACTGTCCTGGTTGTGACGATCGATTGATTCGCCAGTGAGGACTTCTCAGTCAGGTAGCTTGTCACACGCATGAAACCCACTGGGAAGCTTTTTGGTTGCAAATTTGGGGTTTTGCGGGATAGGTATTTTGTTCATAGTCACACCACTCCCGCTTGAACGATCGTCCTCCTGTTCTGGCGTAATTATTCCGGTGAGTCCACACCAAAGAGAAGCACTGGACTCGAGTTTCGCTCTTATTAGAGCTCATCAACAGTTCATATCCAATGGCCGTACCGGGATTTGAACCCCGGACATCTGACATGTGAGGCAAGCGTGTAACCACCAACGCACTTTGGACGCACCTGAATTTTCATGTCTGAACAGGCGAACGTGTTCACACTCGATTGATGTGATTGGCATGCTCGACTCATCGAACGACGACCCAGTAACTGTCCTGGTTGTGACGATCGATTGGCCCGCCAGTCAGGACTTTTTGGTATTTGGCCTAGATGGGCTAACCAGCGTTGTGATGTAGAAAAAACTATTCTGCACAGCACACTACCAGTTTCATCCTCGTTCAAGCTCATTAAATAGACGTGTTCTGGACTCCCCTATTGACTACCAGACGAGGATGGAGATATACAGGTGTATAAAGTCGCTGCTAACGACAGATCTGACTGAGTCCTTGATTCATCCTTTTCTTTGATGGAATGCACCGAACTAGGACCAGCTCAGTTAGCACGACACTATGGGATGCTATATATATATATATATATATATATATATATATATATATATATATATATATATATATTTATATA